GGTTAAAGCATGCGTTTTCCAGTGCCTTTTTCAACTATATATCTTTGGGAGGGGGGGGGGAATTTTCCCTTAGAGAAAGGATTTGCCCCCTCCTCCTTAGTAACGTCATTTCGGTCCCCGAAGTGCATAGCAATATTGCTCATAATTGCTGTCAGATATGCTCTTTATTTACTTGAAAAGGAGATTATGTCCTTTCATAGATTCCTTCACAGCCATCTACCATCTTGTAAGTAATTCATAATGTTATTCAATTTTAAAATAGCAAATTTAGCGATTGATTTCATGCAATAATCCAATAAAATTCTAGCCTAACGTTTTCCCCCGACGTTTCATCGATAAGTTGATAACGATATTTTTCGCGACGCTTTTGTGGCAAATCTGGTTTTTCGAATTTTGTGTAGGATTGTTGATTGAATATGTCCTGCGAAATTTGGCAATGTCTATGAATATGGAATGCCATATTACTGAGACTTTACAAAATGGAGAGGAGAGAAAGAATGATTCTGATAAAAGTAATAAAAGCAAAATTAAGTTCCAAAAGTTGACAAGTTATTTTTTTGTTGTTCCTAAATCTACGGATATACAGAGGCAAAGCTGAAGTTAAAAAAAATGTTTTACAAAATTTCTCTTTAGAATTTGGGCATTTGCTAAACCTCACGCCACATTTTTTTGTTTTGCCATTTTACCTGTTTTGCCCACCAAGTGAAAATTCTTTAAAAAAAGCACTGGCGTTTTCGCTGGATACGTGTGGACGATAAGCGTAACTGCAACAAAATATTTGCGGATACGAACGAATCCTGATACGTGTGGACGGTGCCTAAGATGCATTGTTTTCAATTAAGTGATTATCAGTTAGTAATGATTGTTTCAGTGCAAGACAAGTAATTAAAATTGAAAAACGAAAAGATTAATATCCATATGCAGTAGTTTTAACGTCGTTTAGTTTAATCTGTGCATTTAAAGACATGAGTGAACTTAGTGAGTTGGACTTGTTAGAATGCCAGATTGCAAATGCACTTCAACCACCTTCTGCAGTCGACGTTTCAAGTCAAAGGAAAGCGAAAGTAGACGAGGAGAAACAAAAATGTGGTAGCACCACAAATACACAAGAGACAAAGACTTTTTTGGTTTTTGAACATGGGAAACATGTGTACATGTGTTAGAGTACATGTGTTCGTTATTAATTTTGAGTGCAATATTAAGTTTTTCTGATTTGTTTGTAAGAGTTATTTTCTTTTTAAATTTGTGTGCAATATGAATCTGTTTACTTCACAAAAATATGTTATAAACGCCTTAGATTTTATCTGTTTGTTAGATATTCGGATATGCACTGTAAGGTTACTACAGTCATTAGTATTTTCTATTTAGAGAATACGAATAAGGAAATGATGTGCAGGCTGTAAATGTTTGATTTAGTTAGGACATTGATCATTGGAGGGGTGGGGTTGACTTTAAGGGTGGGGGCCTTTGCCCTCAATCCGTTTGCTAATATAGGTACTGTGATTAGAGCAAAGGATTTTTGAATAGATCCCGGCGCTTATTTGTGAAGCTATATTGCTTTGCCATATAGTCTACAGGGTGTATAAAAAAAACTAAACAGTTTGGAAAACGTCTCCAAAGTCATCAGCGTAGAAGATATGTATAAACCTTGGGTGAAAATAGTTAGTTGACCTTCCAATGGTTTATATGACAGAAAAATTTTGGCAAGTAATAACCTTTTTTATTCTAAGTGAAAATTATGTTCACGCAAATAAGGTTAAAATATGAGTCATGTTCAAGGTAAGAACTAAGGAAGTCTTTGGAAATCTTCCTTTAGGTCTCTTCCTTTTTTTTTTACTGCGCAGTTTTTACGTGTATATCATGGAAATTTGTTGTAAAATTTTTAATTTAGAATTCAACGAACCCTACTTGCAGCATTGCAATTTTCTTTACAAACGTTTGATGTAATTAGAAAAAGTAGCAAGTGAAAGCCAGCTATTTTCTCAAAGCAAGTGACATTTTTTATTGACATTTTTTCCTAATTTGGGTGTTTTTCATAATCAAGGTTCAAATTATAAAAATAGATCATCAGAATCCTTTTTTAACTTTCTCATGCAGTTACTCATACAGCACTTATCTACTCAACTTACGAACCACAAGACATGAATCGTGTTTTTCCATTCACTTGTTTTCCATCTTTGTAGAATAGTCCAATCACTTCAATGTTAATGTTCATACGTACATATGCCGTTATGCGATGTCCATTCAATATGTTTATACCATTTCATACACGAAGTAACTAGCATCATTAACCAATAAAGTAGCTCCTATATCATGAACCGCCATTTCGATCGAATACAATTTACAATGCACTCTTATGGTAACTTCGAGCGAAGGAAAATGGACCACTTGAATACTCCAGTTATATTATCACTCAAAGAATGCTTAGTGCAGAGTTGATCTTCTGTGAGTGTGAGTTTACCACGTTTAGGTGGGTTCATATAACAATGGGGGGATCTCCCACGTATGAACTTTCAAAATATCTTTATAACATTCTGTATCCATTAGTCAAAAATTCACCTCACACCATCTGAAATGCCACCACTTTCCTCGCCAGTATTGAAAACATTAAACTACGACCAGACGAAATCATGATATCCTACGACGTGACATCACTCTTCACATCCATACCACTGGACATTGCCAAACAAATTACAAACGAACTACTCACAAACGACAAAACTTGGCAAGCTACAACACAACTAGACAAAAATGACATCCTAGACTTACTCAACCTTTGCCTCGCCACTGAATTCACCTTCCAAAACACACACTACAGACAAATTTCAGGCACACCAATGGGATCACCACTATCCACCTTCCTCGCAGAAGCTGTCATGCAACACCTCGAAACACAATCAGTCACAAACAACACAAACATCAAACTATGGAAAAGATATGTCGACGACATCTTTGCCATAGTCAAGAAAGACAAAACTGAACAAATCCTACACACCATAAACAATACCACAAAGAACATTACCTTTACTAAAGACGAAGAACACGACAAACAACTTACCTTCCTCGACATCCTACTAACGAGAACAGATGACGGTACACTAAACACACAAGTATACCGCAAAAACACACACACAGACCAAATACTCAACTTTAATTGCAATCACCCAACACAACACAAAATTAGTTGCATACGAACTCTCTTTAACAGGATTAAAACACACTGCAATACAGAAGAAGCCAAGAAGAATGAACGCAACTACTTATACTCTACATTCATAAACAACAATTACCCACGAAACTTTATCAACAAAGTATTAAACAAAATACACAACAAACCACAAACTGAAAAACCTAACGAAGATACAGACGAACCAGTAAAATAGTGACATTACCATATATAAACGGAACATCAGAAATGACATCAAGACTACTCCGACCATTCAAAATAAACATCGCACATAAACCAACACACAAACTCAAATCATACTTCACTAAACATAAAGACCGAACAACGACATTCGACACAACCAACGCGGTCTACATGATACCATGTAAAGATTGCCCCAAACAGTACATAGGACAAACGTCCAAGAAAATTGAAACAAGACTCACTGAACACAAGAATGCCATCAAACGACGCGACCCAAAATCACTACCAGCAGAACATACCTACGATACCAACCACACATTTGACTGGACAAAACACAACTTCTTGACGCGCACAGACAAAACACGCACGAGAATTCAAAGAGGCATGGTACAGCAAAGACAACAACACAATTAACAGACATATTGACATCCCCATCATCTATTCACAACTAAAGACAAAACCAAAACAACAAACTAATAACACAACGACTAAAATAAAACACTCGAATTTCATTAACGTAATCGATACACCCGAAACCATGACAACGCATCTTATACCATCCAATAATATCAACTCAACTACTAACCAACCAATCAGACGCTCCAAACGCCTACAAAATCTTTGTAAATAATATATTGTCACATTCTGACGAAGGCTCGAAGCACCGAGTTGAAAGCTTAATAAAAAATTTAAAACAAATCCAGAGAATCCTTATCATTATCAATAGTATATATATATGTATCACGTGATTCGAGAAAAAGCTCATAATTAAAGGTAAAATTGGTAACAGTGACTGTGTTAAAGTGGAACCCATTTGAGCTCAATCAATTAAATTAATCAAATAAAAACAATTTTCAAATCAATCATTAATACATGTTACCTTAAAAACAACAAATATCTGTTTTGCACTTGTTATTTTACAAGGTTATGTTACATTATGACTACAGCTGTCATAACCTGTGTCATAATGTTGCTATTATGTAAATAGGCTCATCATAATGTAAGAGATGTGAAATGAACAAATTTTAAAGATAATGATTTTGTCGTTAGTTTGTCTACAGGCTATTACTGTACCTTAATTTACAGCCTATGCTTTAAAAAGGTACTTGCAAAAATTTCGTTCAACCCTTACTAAAATAAACTATAGTTTTTCAAGTCAAATACTATAGTTTTGAAAACTGTAGTATTTTAGAACAAAAACTGTAGTTCCGAAAACTATAGTTGTATGAATAAACTATAGTTTTCGGAACTATAGTTTTGGGGATACTATAGTTATAGAAAGTAAAGTTTTGGGATATCAAAAGTTTTAAAATTGATAGTTTTGTTCCCAAACACTACAGTTTTCAAAACTATAGTTTTCTGTGAACTACATTTTTCCAATGAATCTATGTTATAATGTAGTTCATTAAGTAAGGGTTTCATAAACACAATTTAGCAAATTCCATGTACAGGTTCTAGTAGTACACATTACAGTACCGCTCGCGTACTTGTTAACATAATTTTGCGTATAATACGCGTTTCATACGCGTATCGGTCTCGTATCATACACGTATGTTTTTTGTATGATACGCGTATCATACGCGTAGCGTATGTTAACAAATACGCGAGCGGTACTGTATTTTATACAGAATTCAATAAAACCATGAATCCACGATATTTTAATTATACATTGTATTTTAACCAGATAAAAATATTCACCAATTTTTTTCCTTTATAGAAAATATCATTAAATTGCATGGATAGACTTAATAGAAAAATATACTGTAGACAGCTAATGTTACTCTTTATTCGTGTTGTTTTTTCCATGCTTGTTCCTCGTTATTAAGTTTGAACTTTATAGCTTATACAACATCTTCTTCTATAATCTGGCGTGGCATATTTGAATACTTCACACTCGTTGCATGCTCTAGAAAAAAGATAGAGTAATAATGTCCACCTCAAGTCTAAAGGATATTTTCTGATAGATCATAAGGTGGGAAGTCAGCAAAGCAAAAGCTAATAAACTTGACTAGGTCTTCAATACAAACACAAAGTATCAAAACAACATAGTAGTTCACAACAGTAAGTTTAAAATATTAAAAGATACATTAAATTGTTGAGTCATGCTCATAAACCACAGAAACATGTTAAGGCGCATCTCCACTAGACGATTTTTGTGACGATCGTCTTAAATTTTCGCGACGACACATGCGCAGAGGCAAAAAGCTTTTCGTTCGGACGAAATTTTTGACGATTTTGATTCTGACGAAAAGTTTAAACTGTTTTAACTTTTCGTCAAGCGCTTTCCGATCGTCAAAATTGTAGCCAATCAAATATCAGAGATGAGCAAACACTGCACATGGCCAACCTAGCAGTTCATATTAATGATTTCAACATGGCTACTAGTAACGAAGAAACAACAGAAGTTGAGTTAAATATCGTAGTGTCACTGCAAGTCTTTGGTCAGGTCCAATAGGTTCTCTCATTTTCGTTGAAACTTTCTTTATGTCGGGTCCTATCAACTTTAGCAAACTTTCATATGTCTTTGGAAACATACGAAAGTATCTAAAGAACATTTCATGGTCGTGGAGTCGCATATCATTTATCAATAACTTATATTCTCCTTTCACATTTCTTTCTTCGTACAGCTTTCTTATCCAAAATCGACGTTTCCTTTTTCTTGTTTTGGTGTTCTCCCTGAGCATTTTTTGGTGAAGATTGTAAAGAAATAAATATCTTCTACGAAGCAGCAAATATAGAATATATCTTTTATTTATAGACGCCATTTTGTTTATTGGAAAACACCGCGAAATAATCGTCTAGTGGAGATGACTAACAAAATCGTCCTATAATTCGTGTTCGAAATATTGTCGCGAAAATTTAAGACGATCGTCACAAAAATCGTCTAGTGGAGATGCGCCTTTAAGGAAATAGTATGTGCGTAGTTTGGTTTACCTATGTATCCGTTACCACACGGCTAACAGCCAAGGAACAGTTATTGACGTTAGTTAAATTTCCTTATGTACCATATATAGCTTAAATAGAGGAACTATACCGACCAATAATAATATTTGTTATTTGTAATAAAGACTATAAATACTGCTCTGTAAAATAATAAAAATCAGTTCGATCATAAAGTTCACTCGTGGTTGTTACTGAAGGTATAGAGTATATTACGAAAATAGATATGGCGAGTAACTCGAACTCAACATAAATTTTCATTATTACCTCTTATTGTCCCATACAAGACATGGCACAAGAGATGTTTGAACAATATACTATGTCTGCATAGAAGAACATGTAAAAAATAGATCTTTACGGCTGGTCAAACGTGCTTGAAAATGTAAAGTCTAAATATTTATACTGAAAAAACTCCTTGAAATGTTTAAAGTTTAATTTCAACGGTATTCAAACTCAAATAACCATATATCTACTTACGAATTAAAGAAGTATTGTATGTGGGATAAAGCCGAGGCTTGACCTGACCATTTTTCCCTTTTTGGCCCTTGTAGCTGTGGGTAGCCATGTGTTCAAGGGATAAGGTTTCCCCCATTAAGTTAGAAACATATGATCCAACTTTCTTTGCAATGATTCTTTTAAGGACATGCTTTTTGACAACCAAATTTGGTCCCAAAGTGACCTGAAATAAATTGAAGAATAACAGCATGTGAAATTTATATTACTAGAGTTGCAAATGTTCCATCTCCACTTAAATGTAGCTGTTTTATTTACTCAAAGTGTTCATGAAAAAGCAACCCTCAGTTACGATTCTAAAAACAAACGTAAATAATTTTAAAAAGGATTGCTGCACATTACAACTTCAATTATGTCCATTTGATGAGTCAGTGTTACATAATTAATTGATTCTAATAGATCTGTTTTAACTGCATGTTAGTTTATCAACCAAATCTAATGCTTAGTACCATTTAAAACTAGGTACAGACAAAACACACCATTTCAGAGAGAGAAGTAACTTCAGTTGTTGCACTTGAGCAATCCAGAGGGCTTTCTTCCATAGTTTGGTTGGTTTCATTTGATAGTCCATTGATAGAGCTCTCAAACACAGCAGTTGTTATTGGGGAAGGGTTTTCTTCTGGAAGATTTGAAAGGTTTGAGTAAGAGCTACTTCTCCCAGATGAAACTGGGGTGAATCTATTCCACATCACAGGCAAACCTTCAATGGGTGACAAAGATGTGGTGGACGGGGATTTACTGAGGAAAGTTCTGGTCAGAAATGATCTTTGTGGAAGTGACCTGGCAGAATCTTCGAAGGTAGAAACATATCTTAACTTTTTTAATGAAGTTCTTAAATCTATAAATTTAAAACGATATATCATAAGCTTCTAAAGGTTGATGGCACTACGTAATATTGAGTTGTTGTTTTTCACCCAAATACTAAATTTCAAATCCAAAATATACTGAATAGAACAAGCAATTTACAAATTCCTCCAATTTGGAAGACAAAAGTGAAAAGCAGGGAAAGCATTGATTTAAAAATACAAATGAAGTAAATTTTCCTCAAGCTCACCATTGCAATTGTTAATTTTCTCATTAAGTCTTTTCATCTGATTTTTCAGCATTTTTACCCTCTCTTTGAGTTCCAAGGTTTCTTTTTTATACTTGCATTTATCATTGCAAAGGGCAATACCTTCATCTGAATGACTCTCCTAAATAATCAACAAGAACTTAGGCAATATTTAACAATATTTTCCTTTTAGTACCAACTATTAAGGTGTACTTTACTAACAACAAGTACAATATATTATAATGATAAATGTCAATTTTTTAATTTCATAAGCCCCACTGATTGAAAACTATTTTGTATGATTGCCCGATACAAGCCTTACACTGTACAATGTTTGCATTTTAAAAGATTTTTCACTTAGAAACAAGAAATGAATTTCAAATTAATAGCATTTTATGATTAAAGGGAACATATCATACAGTATTAACTTTTTTAGCTTTAAACAAAACAATATCCAAATTTTATTCTGAAAAATGACCTTAATTCCCTAGCATTCCTCATTAAAAATAAAATTGCATAATTTAGAGATAAGAATAATTAGTGTTATCATTGTGTATAGTACATACCACCTTGGTTGAGATATGAACATCACGCAAAAATGTTAATGTTAAGATATGAACATCACGCAAAAAACATAAACAATATAGCTTTGCATGCATAATTAAGTAGGTATGACACATATAAGATCAAGTGACATTGTGAACTTAAAAAAAAAATTCTAATATCGTTGTTAGCTTATACGTAAGTTATTATTTTGTTCCACAATAAAATCATAATATTTCACATATTATCCGAACGTTATTGCCGAACCTCGATTAATCTAACAGGTTATGGGCCCAGGAGCGTTTGAGTTTCTGTTTATGACGGCAAATGCGGAAAGTTTATGAGATATCGCGATTTCAGGAGAATATAACTTACATAAGTGCGAAATATTGAATATGGCGACTTCGGGAAATGACGAAGCATTTACACGGATCGAAAAGTTCAATGGCCAAAACTTTCACCTTTGGAAGTTTAAGATGCAGATGATACTTGAAGAGAAGGATCTCTGGCAAATAGTTATTGGCGATGAGGTAGAACCTACTGGTGAAGGAACTACTGATACTCAACGTCGACAATATCAAAGGCGGGAAAGGAAGGCATTTGCAACAATATGTTTGTCTCTCGGCGATGAACAGCTATCTCTCGTTCGATCAGCGAGTACTGCAAAAGATGCTTGGGCGAAATTAGAAAGTCATTATGAAGTCAAATCGTTGGCAAATAAGTTATTCTTGCGAAAGAAATATTTCACTACAAGTATGGGTCCTGATGATTCCATGACCGAACATCTCAACAAGATGAAGGATATTGCAAGTCAATTAGAAGCATTGGGTGCGTCTGTTTCTGAGGAAGATCAAGTGGCGACACTCCTTTGTAGTTTACCTGATTCGTACAGTGGCTTGATAACAGCATTGGAATCTAGAGCAGATGACTTATCATTAGAATTCGTTACTGCTAGACTTCTTCATGAAGAACAGAAACGTAAAGAATCCAACGAAAGCAAGGATATTGGTGAGAAAGCACTACTATGTCAAAAGTCCAAAAACGACAAAGTAAAGAATACCAAATTCAAAAGAAAAGGTAAATGCCATAACTGCGGGTTACCTGGACATTGGGCTCGAGAATGTCGCAAACCCAAACAGAATCAGCAAAGTGACTATAGAAATAAAAGGGAAGAAGCATCCTACGGAGCCACAGTTCAGAATTCATCATTGTTTACAGATAGCAAAGAATCTGCATGGTACATTGATTCAGGTGCATCATCACATATGTCATATAATAAGGACATCATGGTTGATTTCATCCCATTCAAATTCCCTGAAAAGGTAAAGCTAGGAGATGACAGAATAGTTCAAGCACTGGGAAAAGGAAATGTACACATTGAGATTAAGTCTAAGAAGAAGTATGAACCAAGAAGATTGGTTGACGTTCTATATGTTCCAGATTTAGGAAAAAATCTCTTCTCAGTTAGTGCTACTGCAAAACGGGGATACTCAGTTGAATTTAATGAACACACTTGCTTGATACTTGATCAAAATGGATCTATATCCGGATCAGGAAGAATGATGAATAACCTGTATGTTCTTGATGTTAAAAAAAAACAGGATGATTCGAAGCATGCGAATGTTTCTACAAGTGATACTAGCGAAGAAATATGGCATCAACGGTATGGCCATCTAAGCCTGAAGAATTTACGTCTACTTCGAGATCAAAAGTTGGTTAAAGGTCTTAATTTTCAATCCGATGATCACTTTGAAGTTTGTGAAGGATGTACACAAGGAAAGCAGATACGAGCAACCTTTCCTCGAGAACCTGCAACGCGTGCTAAAGATGTACTCGATCTTGTTCATAGCGATGTTTGTGGACCGATGGAAGAAACAAGTCTTGGTGGAAATAAATATTTCATAACATTTATTGATGATAAATCAAGGTACACAACAGTCTACTTTATGAAGAGAAAGGATGAAGCTTTTAAGAAATTTAAAGAGTTTGAAGCAATGGTGACCAATTTCACTAACAAGAAAATTAAAGTACTTCGATCAGACAACGGTGGTGAGTACACTTGTCAAATGTTTGAAAAATATCTAAAGGATAAGGAATTCAGCATCAGTTTAGTGTTCCAAGAACGCCACAGCAGAACGGAGTTTCTGAAAGAATGAACAGAACCATTCAAGAAGCTGCACGATCTATGCTGAACAACGCAAAACTACCAAAGAAATTCTGGGCTGAAGCAGTTCATACTGCAGTCATCTTAAGAAATCGAAGTCCTACTGTATCCGTGAAGGGAGTTACACCTTACGAATGTTTCCATTCTAAGAAACCTGATGTTTCACATCTGAAGATTTTTGGTTGCACTGCTTACATGCACGTTCCTAAGGAAACAAGGAAGAAATGGGACTCCAAAACCAAGAAATACACATTTGTTGGGTACAGCCTCACAAGTAAAGGTTATCGACTCTACGACGCTTCAACAGGTAAAATTCACATATCAAGAGACGTGTTATTTGACGAAAGCTCATTTGATCGACGAAAGAAACCTACTATAGTAATACATGGATATGATAAAGATACTGTGACCGAAAAACAGAATGATGAACTATTAGAAGACAATGAAGAACACGAAGTCAAAGAAGAAATGGAAGATAATTCCAACAACAGTATGACAGATGAACAACAACAACGACGACGATCAGCACGAATACACAAATCTCCTGATAGATATGGTGTGGTGATCACAGGTAATTGGTGGCAGAACAATGTCGCTAGCATTGATGATGAATCTATCCGTACGATGAACCACTCAACATTAATGAAGCTTTTGATAGTCCAGATAAGGCGAAATGGAAACAAGCAATGGACAATGAATATTCCTCCCACATAAAAAACAATACTTGGACATTGGTTGACTTACCTAAAGATCGTAAAGCCATAGATTCTCGATGGATATTCAAAGTAAAGTACAAAGCAGACGGTTCAATTGAACGACATAAAGCTCGGCTAGTTGCTAAAGGATACTTACAAGAATATGGTTTAGATTATGAAGAAACATTTTCTCCAGTAGCAAAATATACATCAATTCGTTCTCTCTTGGCAATCGCTAATCAGTTAGATTTGGACGTACACCAAATGGATGTGTCGACAGCATTTCTGAACGGCGAACTTAAAGAGGAAATATACATGAAGCAACCTGAAGGATATGAGAAAAAGGGACAAGAACAGAAGGTTTGTAAATTAAACAAAAGCATATATGGCTTGAAGCAATCTTCGAGATGCTGGTTCGATACCATTGATCAGTTCTTAAAGAAATCCGCTTACGTTCAATCCAATTCTGATCCGTGCCTGTACATTAAACGAAAGGGAGACAATATCATGCTTTTAGCGTTATACGTCGATGATTTGATTCTTGCAAGTAACAACAAGAAAATGCTAGAAGAGGAGAAAGGTATGTTAAAGAAACGCTTTGAAATGAAAGATCTAGGTGAAATTCATTTCTGTCTTGGCATTCTAATTCAACGAGACAGGGAAAAGAAACAAATGCGACTTCATCAATCAAAGTATTTGACGAATTTGTTGAAGAGATTTGGAATGCAAGACTGCAAACCTGTTGCAACCCCCGTTGAGCTCGGAACCAAGTTGTTGAATAATGAAGGAGAGCCAATGAACATAACCCAATATCAAGCATTAATTGGCGCATTAACGTATGCAGTTACAGCGACAAGACCAGACCTGGCACAAGCACTTTCAACAGTTAATCAATTCTGTGCTAACCCTAGCCAAAACCATTGGAATGCTGCCAAACGTATTTTACGTTACATTAAAGGTACGATTAACCACGGCATTTGCTTTGATGGACAAAAGGAAAGTAGATAAGATGCAGCTTTGTCACACTTTTGTCACAGAGCTCTTACCCGTGCCAGTTAGTTTCCAGTCCCCTGAAGTTGATCGGTGCGCGCGCATGTCAACCGGAAATAGGGTTTAATAAACATGGCATGGCATTGGATGGCGTGAAAATCGGAAATACGACAAAGCTGGAAGTTGCATGCTATTGACAAAGTAACATTAGATCCGTTTCCTTTTCTCAATCGAAGGTAAAAAACGGTAGAAAACGAGGTAATTGCATTTTATAGCTTATACTTTATCGAAAGGTTTACATTTTATCTCTTGAAACAAATGGAATTGAATGTAGACATTGATCTGGCATTAAGAATGAACAAATTGCTTTTGGAGT